CAACCTATTTGCCTTTTTTACCTGCGGAAAATTCCAAAATATTGCACCTTTCTAAAAGCAGAAGTCAAATTTGGAATTAGCTTATATTTACAAAAATCAAAGTTAATAAAGTGAAATATTAAATATCTCTTCTTTATGCTGTTGTCAATTAAATACATGTAAAAGTCATGTTTTTGTTTCTGTTTTACCCACTGTCCCAACTTTTTTGGATTGAGTTTGTACTTCATATGAAAAATAGACCAAATCTAACCTATATTGTGTCACATGTGCTGGATTTCCAATCTCTACTAACTACAGATAAACCGATTAATATAGCTGTATAAAACAGCAGCACATTGCAGCATAAAAACGTGATACAAAACATAATTCTGTTGATGCAATTTTGCGCACTATACAGAAAAATGCACTGACGCTGTATATTTATTTCATGACTCATATATTAGCAGTCTGCCAGAAGTTTTACAACTAAAATAGAATGAGGTGTGATGAGTCATAGTTCGACTTTCTCCACAGTTTGGCTTTGTAAATGTTCCCTTCACTCATTTACCTGTGGAAAAAATAAAAAAAGTCCCTTAACTAGAGTTCATCAGTCATTTGAATTGCCCTCTGCTACTGAGGAGCATATGCAGAGCCCTGCGTATGTCTGTAAGAATCCTGCTGCTCATGTCCCATATGGTGCCTTTGAGAGTTTTTCCTCTAATTAACACCTCTGACTCTGAGCAGCGCTCTTCTCTCAACAAGGACAGGTCAAAGCCCTGAAAAATGCTCTCTCTTTAGCACGGGAACAAATGAACTGTCTGGAAGTTGGCAGGAGCCGCACATAGCTGCAGACAAAAAGAAGTCATGAAGCTGACCTGAGATTACTGGCTGTTTGTCAACATACATCTTCATGCATTTAATACAAGTTAGAAAGTTTGGAAAGGACAAGACAAAAGTCGCTGTACTACATTCAACCTAATGTTACTGTCATTAACAGTGTGTCTGTATTAAAGAATCAGGGACAGATGTGCTTGTCAATCTTCTGAGGTATGAATTTGATATATTCTTCCCAAAAAAGCATGTATGTTATGTGTGAAACTGGTACACTGACACTACAAAAAGAGGTAAATCTCCAAAGTGGTAACTTCGTAGGAAAAACGAAAAAAACATGGCAAATGTATAATGCAATAAGAAGCGGGCAGCGCTTTCACGCTGCAGCAAGAAGGGTCTGGGTTCGATTCCCCGGCTGGGCGTCTGGGGTCCTTTCTGTGTGGAGTGTCTGCGTGGGTTTCCTCCGGGTACATGCTAAATTGCCCCAGGTGTGAGTGTATGTGTGATTGTATATGTCTGTTTGTCTGCCCTGCGATGTACTGGCGGCCTGTCCAGGGTGTTTTCTGCCTTCTGCCCAATGACCACTGGGACAGGCTCCAGCATCCCCCGGGACCCAGAAGGATAAGCAGATTAGATAATGTGTGTGTGTGTGTGTGTGTGTGTGTGTGTGTGTGTGTGTGTGTGTGTGTGTGTGATTCTGAACCGTTTCTGGGTTACTCTGACAAACATGAGGGCCATTATCAGTATAAGGTGCCTTTCTATGTCCCTAATATAATCACTCAAGTTTCATAATTAAAAACAATTATAAAACAATGAATTTCTCCTAATTTCTCTGTCAGTCACATCATCACAGTGCAACAGAAATAGGTTTAATCTGTTCTTCATTTGTCCTTGACAGAGTAGAGATAAATGAAAAGTCATTTTGATTGATATACATGTTTCTTAAGCAATCTCCAGTCTAATTCATATAATCAACTTTCAAAAAATGGAAAATTTAAAGTAATTTTTTTGCAAGTTATGAGGCCCCAGTGGTATACTGATACTGACCCTTTACAAATATCGGGTCTCAACTTAAAAAAAATAGAATTACAAAAATGTTATGTTTTTTTTTAATAGTTAAATATGACTCTAAATTATTTAATTGATTTTAAATTGATTTTTAGTAACATGTTTCAATTTAAGTGACCAAATTCTCATTACTGCAACACAGTAAGATTTAAAAATAAATTTGTAAATATTTTTTTTTGTCTCCAAACTTTTCACAAGCTGTGAAATACTGCTGTTGGATTAAGTTGGTATACATATTGCAAAATATAATGTTTTGCAATTTTATTTCATTACCACAACACTTTGACAGTCATGGAGGTCTTTTCACTTGTGTTGCACAACATTTTCTAGTTTTGGTAAATTTTCTTACAGATTGCCAGGAAAACATTATTCAACAGTTAAAAGTAAGGTAAATTCATTTCTTCTCATTAAAAATGACAAAAATTTGCAATGAGAAACACATATTTGGACACGGTGGAAATGAGAATTGGAGTAAAAAATGTGCCAAAAAAGTTAAAAAATAGAAAGATTTACTTCATAATTTTTTTGCTATACCTTAGAGCTTCAGCTGATCCGCTAAATTATATAAATATTTTTATCTGCAGGATGATTATATTCAAATATTATGGACATGTTTTGAGCTGCTTTCATGAGAATGATGCTTTCATTTATATTTTCATGAAAAGTTGACGCGTTGTAAAGAGCTAGCATTTTTAAAAGCTGCAAAATAAATAAATAAATAAATAAATAAATGAAGTTTGAATATGACTAGGGCCATTGACAGGCCAGTTTTAGGGGGGGGCTTGATTTAAGTACCTTTTTGGCCTGTTCAGTTCATGACAAACCAACATTTTAAAGCCATTTTAAATTATTTTTTCTTGGAGGACCATGTCCCTAGACCCCTCTTATTAAAGCCTAATCAATCACAGGTGACAATAACAGTATAAGCCGAAACACACAACTCATGCATTTTATATATATATGGGAAAAATGCATTTCTCTGCATCATAGATATGAATTTCATGAATGATCATATGAAACGTTGGAGAATTGCACATAATAGGTTGAGATATAGGAAGTGTAGCTTAAATAATTATCTCCATGTAAAGTTTGGGCAGCTGCAGAAAGCTAGTTTAGTTCAAAATGTTCTTTATCTTTTAAAACTAGAGATAAATTACCAACAGTGTCTGGGAAACTTTGTTGGGAAACTTCCTTTAACAATTCATAGGCAGACCCACTGCATGATGAGCTACAGCATTAGCTACAAATGTGTACTGCGGTCACAGTGAGTCACATTTTTTGCTGTGTCTTCTCACACATAAATATTCAACCCACAGAGCTGAATGTGCAGAGTAAATTAAGGACTCCACCAGAGTAGCATACTGTAAGTGTAGGTACGACATGATAGGTTAGTAAAGAGCTTTTAAATCCTGTTAGCTGCAACGCAGGATAAACACACACAGTGCCATACCTGATGACAAAACACGCATAGAGAGAGTTACAATTAAGGAGCCCAGTGGAGCAATGCATTAGTAAATTGAGGTTTCCAGGCAAAGCAATTAAGTTCCGATAGAGCATGAGATCTCTGGAGAGACCAGGTTGTTCCTTCAGGCCTTTATTGCAACAGCCACATATACAGCACCAGCACCATCTGCAATACCTTAACACTCGACAGTTTTCTAGGTTACTGTGTAAAATCAACACAACAGGATGCACAGTGGAGAATACTGTACCAGTGAAAACAAAAACCCACGGAAGGCCCAAGAGGATGAATAAGACCTAAAACCTCTTCCTTTCATCTCCCTTTGTTCTTTTACATGACTGCTTTTATGAGATGACTGCACTGTTAAATTATTTTTGGATTTCCTGTTCCCAGTTTAAGCTGAAGAAAAACTGCTGCTTCTCACAAAAGGATGATATAGCTGACAGATAGTTAGAGACGATTTAACTACAAGAGATTCACTTCAAAGCACTGGACACTTGACGTTTGCCTTATGATAAATAAAGATAATAAAGATAAAAGGGACGATGAAGACAATTATTGAAGCTTGAGGATGATAAATGTTCTTCTATATTTTTAATGGCTCTTTGGAGTGATGTCATTGAAGAACCAGTGGTTCTCCAAGAAACCTTTTTTTGTATATAAAATACAGTACTGGACCCCACCAGTCAGACCCTACCCCTTGGTCAATGGTCAAAATGACCATTTATTCATTTTTTAAGAGATTAGACATGAGATAATCCACTTGCATAAGGAAGGAGGAAGTGAAAAGAAAATAAGTGACAAAAACAGGAGTTTCCAAAACTGGAGTTTAAAAAATGATTAGAAGATCTAGAGAAAATGGGACATGTGCAAGACCTGGTAGACCACCCACACTGCCACCATCAGATAAACAGCACCGAAAGCTTTCATCTTTGAGAGAGAGGAGAAAATCAAGCTCCACTTTTGCTTCAGATCTAAAAAAAAAACCCAGGTGTTTCTGTCCATCCTTCCACTGTGAGAAGACAGCTCAACACTATGAGCCTGAAAGGATGTGTAGCTGTCAAGAAGCTGTTACTGAGAAAAGAAAACAGATAAAAAAGAAGCAAATATGCAAATCAAACAAAGAAGCAGCTGGTCTTCTCAGAACAATGAGCTGGCCTTAACATGACTGAATGTGTTTGACATTACTTGAATAGCGTGAAGCTGAAAATGTAACTTCTAAGGTGTGGAAAAACCTCCCTGCACATTTCTTTGAAAAAATGAAAGCGAGTCTCCTGAAAATATATGGAAATAATGGAAACTGTAATAAAGGCAAGAGTGGATACACTAAATACTGAAAAACTCAGATATTATATTTAATTGTTGAGTTGTTCTGTTAGAATACATGCTCTCTGAAAAATGACTAACTTGTACTTATTAGCCATTTTGCCTGGAAATTAATTAGATGAAGGGTGGTCGCTGACTTTTGCACAGTACTGTATGTGAGTGTGTTTTTAAAGTTTAGAGAACCTCCACATAATATTAAGGCTCTCTTCCAATTAAAGCTTTTTCATAGAACTGTTTATCCAAACCACGAGGCACTTACGGACCTTTATTTTTAAGCATATATACAAGGGAATCCTCAAAGACACCACTAAATATCTTCTCTTATCTGTTGCAGGGGGTGTGTGTATCTCCCAGTCGGTTAAAATCCCTCGTGAGCCCAAAGCAGGAGAGTTTGACAAGATCATTCACCGGCTGGGAGAAAACCCCAATGCCAGAGTGGTCATTATTTTTGCAAATGAGGATGATATAAGGTGAGTTTTAACAACATGAGTGTTTTCATATCCTAAACATTAGTAGTATTAAACAGCCTCATTACTCTACAGTCATGACAAAGCAGAGAAGAAAACCCCATTTAAAAACCCCATGAATTTTGCTAGCCCATGTTTTAATTCTCCACATGGGAATGTTTAAAACCCTTGATTTCTGAGTGCTGCACCTGGAGCTCCTAATCAGACCCATTACGACCCAGATGTTCTGACAGAATGTGACTAAATGCCTTCACTTAAATGCATTATAACTACTGGTCTGTAATTACAAACTAATTATTTTTGATTTGAAAGGCAGTCATGTTTAATCTGTCACTATGTGCTGAATACAAACATTTTAAGATGAAAATCAAGCCATATTAAGCATTTTGAAACTTGTCGTGCTCTGGTTTCTACTTCATTCATGGGATGGATTTTTTTTTTATACAAATGTCTGTGATATTTCACAGACATTACTGCCTCATGTCAGCTCAGTGAGGAGCTCTTTCATTCAGATGGACTAAATTTGGCATCCTAAGCCCCTTTGCGAGCATGCTCATACAGTTCATTGTTAACTGTGGTCAATGCTGAACAGTCAATAACACATTGATTTGCAATTACACTAAATGGAGTTTCACCAAAGCGCTTGAGAACGCAGACAGTATTTTGACAAAAAAAAAACCACATATAAAGTATAGTTGATGTGACCCAATCTCATTCCCAGGGAACTGGTGAACTAAACCATACTGTATCTGTTCATTCTGCTCTTTTTAAAGGAGGCTACTGCAAGCAGCAAAGAAAGCCAATCTGACCGGTCACTTCTTGTGGGTAGGGTCAGATAGCTGGGGTTCTAAGATATCTCCAGTGCTCCACCAGGAGGAGATGGCTGAGGGAGCAGTGACTATCTTACCAAAACGTCAGTCCATTAAAGGTAAGAGAAAATCTGCTTTTTTCAATATACAATCTTAAAAATAATGGTACCAAAAAAGGGTTCCTTGAAGTAAAGCCATGGAAGAACCTCTTTTTATTCACTAAAGAACATTTCAGTCAGAGTTCCCACATATCCTGGAAAACCTTGAAAGCCAGGAGACCTAGAGACTGGTTTTCCAGTCATGGAAACACCTAGTCTCACACTAGGTGAGAAAGACGGAATCTTATAACAAGAACCTTCAGGCTAAATGTAGGCAAGAACATTGACTTATCAGAGTGGGAACAGACTGAGTGTGAAAGTTCTAAACCAATCCAGTGCCTTGTGTGCAAAGAAAACATTACATGTGCTAAAAATAAACATTACCTTATGAGGAAAAACAGCTCTAACGATATCATTTCACTAGATAGCTTGTTTTGCTTGTGATATTGAAGGTTCTCCTGACTAATGGAATTTGGGGGCAGGTTTTAGAGGGGTGTAATCCTGTTTCGGCAAATTTCATTGCCAGCGCCAAAAGTTTTCCCCAGACATGTGTTCTTGTTATGAGATCACGTCTGGCCCTGTGAGACTAGAAAACCACTGGAAAATGAGAAAATTGCTAAAAAGTCCTGGAAATATTAGTGAAGTCCTAGAACAAGTTTAAAGCCCGTCAACCAACATTAGTTAACGCTGATGTTGCTTTCAGCAAATGAAATCCACTTTATGTCTAAGCTTTCTGTTTGTCGAAGTTGCTTGGTCATAGAGAGACACAGAGGCCCCGTTTTAATTCTTTTTCTTAACTTGCCCTCGTCCACTTTGACTCACCACTTAGATGTGTGTCACACCTATGTTACACAAGTGGTCACTCGCAGCTGAAGGGAACGAGTGGACAGTGAGGAGCAGATTATTCAAATGGAACATGGAAATGTTTTGAATAAAGCATTTTCATTTCATTCATTCAGTGAGTGGCAGGTTAGCCTCAGTGAGCTAATCAGCTGGCCCTGCAAACTTTGCAATGCAAAATGTTTTTGTGAGAAGTTTGACATAATGTGCATAATGTGTGTGAGTAATCGCTTTGTCTGTCTACAAACTTGGAGCGGGACTTGGAGTGCTGAAATGCCTTTCTTGTTGTTAGCCATGTAGCCTTTAGAATGCTAACTAGCAGCTAGCAGAGCAAAGTGATGAAGTTGCATCATCGGTCAGCAGTTATGTTTAATAGATTGAGTATTTTGTAACATAAAGCCCATTAAATCAAATGTTATGGATTTGAAATGTGAAGCATTTTTAAGCTCTTTTCTGTAATGGCTTATAAACAGATTTGTCCAACAATTTTTTTTTTCTGACATAATTTTCGAGGTTAAAAAGCAATGCATACAGTTCTATTGCTGAAGTAGGCACTTGTGCTCACTCGAACCCTAACACTCTTCACTTGAGTTAATAAAGTAATGGAACAGCCCTTAAGATGGGCATTCCCCTGAGGGAAAATGACAGGGCCAAGTGGACAAGGGCTTGTTAGAACTTGTATAGAAACAAGCGGGGAGAGTGAGAGAGTAAGAGAGAGAGATATAAAGTGAATAGTGAATGAGTGACCGACTGGCTGATACATCTTTTCTGAAGTGGCTTTGACTCGGTAAAAATATAGCCAGTAGGCTTTTTTGCTATTTTAACATGAATATCAGAATTAAAATGTACTTTTAAATGAACAGTATTTAAATCATTGAATAAATATTTTAACTTAAAGATTCAGACCAAAACATTAGGCCCAATTAAGTCTGTAAAGGCAGGAGGTGGGCTGTGAAATTTAAACCTATTTAAACCAGATCTGAGCCTGACATATATTTGGGAAAACTCAGGTGCAAAACTAGCCCATTTTGAATTCACTGTTGTTTCATGTCACCAAAACCAACACATTTCCACATATCCACCTATTCAAATTACAGCAGTTTAGCCCCACCCACTCACACTGAAGTTACAAGGATGATTTCAGCTCAGACTGCTATTTAAATGAAACATGGCACAGCAAAGCCAATCAGAACACATTATTTACACAGATCAGTCTTAATGGTAACAAAAACAGTCTGTTTCATTCTAAGGGAAAAGGGAAGGCTGGAAAATGATCTTGTAAAACTAAATTATGAATTTGATACATAAAATCACTCAAATGTCAAAGGAAGACCTCAAGGATAAACAATACAAAAAAAAATATAGGATATGGGCCTTTAAGGGTGCTGATAGATACAAGTAGTTCTAATATGATCTTCTGTGATAAATAGCTGTCATGTATGGAAATCATGGAAAATGTCCAGGAAAAAGATTTCCTAAACAGTGGGGACATTGACAGTTTATGTTTGTAAATGAGATGTGAAAATATAAAAAAACCTTTTAAGGTTTGAAGAACCGTAGAAATGTATGTCCGAACCAAGAACCATTTTAGAACCTTTTTTTAATTTTATTTTAGGAGTATTTATGTTCAGTAATGCTGAAACATCAGTGAGAGCACAATGTAATGTTTAATGAAAAGCATCAGCATGGTCGCTTAGATAACCTATGATAATTATATTACAATAAGATTTATAAATTATATTGGTTTTTGTATTTTTTTTTTTATGTGTAGGATTATCTTGCTGAAGCTCGCTGCTTCTGCACCGTTCAGTCACACTGTGTTGGTCTGTGTCCTCTAAAGCTCAGTGGCTCTGCCCTTTGATTTTGACAGAACGCATTAAAGTGACACTTTTCTCATCGATCTTCTCCCAGGGTTTGATCGTTACTTCATCAGCCGAACACTGGAAAACAACAGGAGGAACATCTGGTTTGCGGAGTTCTGGGAGAACAATTTCAACTGCAAGCTCAACCGCCATGCCTTGAAGAAAGGATCCGGCATAAAGAAATGCACAAGTAAGAAATCCTTGCTATCTCCCCACTGGCAAAACACCCCTCTTCCAAAGCTCCGTAGAAGCAGGAGCGAGGTGGGGGAGGGGGTATAAAGGATGTGTGTGAGAGAGAGAGAGAGAGAGAGAGAGAGAGAGAGAGAGAGAGAGTGAGAGAGAGAGGAAGAGAGAAAAGGAGAATACAAAAAAAGGTGGTGCCAAATCCTTTCAGAAAGGCTTGGCCTACTCTGCTGCGTGCTGGAGAAAGTGCCTGTTTAAGTCGTAATTCCACGAAGCTCCTTCATGTCTGAACTCCTGGGTTGAGCACCATCTTCCCTGAACTAACTGCATAAAACCCATCTAATCCACTGTACAGGAGGAGAGATGATAATCTTTAATTGATTCAGGCTTTCTCTAGAGGGAGCGCTTTTCGGCACTGAGCCTCTCAGCACCGAGTTGATCCTTGGTCAGCACTTGACCCCCCTGGCCATGCAACACAGCTGTCACATAGCAACGCACCTCTGGCTGCAGCCAATCGGGGTGCGGCAAGATCAAGGAGAAGGATGCAGAGCTTTCTAGAAGCAGATTTGCTGGAGGATGGTGGCTTCCTCCGGTATTCGCTGCAGCCTTTACTGCACTGCAGCAGTAGACTAAGCAGGAGGGCTGCCAACCTCTGGCTTCACATCCACATAGAGTTGCTGCAAGTGATGCTCAGAAGCTGATTTTATACCTGACTGCTTCTGAGAATACGCATCTGACCGTAGCTTCACAGTTCACTAAATGTCTTATGAATTTAACTTTTTTTTCTCGCGCATATTCATAAGTAGGCGACTTATTTCTCGCTAGCTGGCTTTCTGCGCATAGCCAGAGGATTCTGGCACAGAAAAGATTCATCATGCTAGCATGATAGAATAAATTGCTTAATTTTATACAGCAATTGTTAGACTCACCAGGAAATCATTATTGTTGCCTCGCTGGAGATTCTTGAATAACTAACATTTGATTAAATGCACTGTCTCCGTTGCTCCGTTAATTAACGCCAATACAATAGCCTGTTGTGTATAAGGAGAAAATACAATCCACGCTTTAGTAACATGCATGGAATTTAATTCATTTATTATAGCTTTTTTTGTTTTTTTCTTTTTACAGTGAGTAGAATGCTACAGATTGCTGAATAGACATGAACAGTAATGGAACGGAATTCAATTAAAGATGCACATGGTTCATCTGTTATTTGTTTGCTTACTTCCTAATCAGCCTTAGCCAATTAAGTCAAATGTAAGTGTGGCAACCCCCTCTACTCACCTGCCAAGTGGTGTGCACAGAGATTGGTGAGGTCAGAGCTGAGATCTTTCCAAAGGACATTTTCTGAAGGCATTTTTGGTTTAGTTCATTTCAGGATTTTTTCAGTTACTATTATAGACAAAGTTATTCTAATATAACAGTTTTTCTACATGCAGACCTGATTTATATTTCAAAAACCTGATTTTTATTGTGACTTGTACATATTATAAATACATTTTTCTTGTTGTGAGAACCTGTTCATAATAACAGCCCTAATTACTGTGGCTGTATAATGTCATTCAAACTTTTTATTCAGCCACTATTTTATTATTTTATTCTTTGTGTTACGGCAGAAACCAACCCATGTATAAACACTGTGGGATTACAGCTCCGTGACAGCTGGTCATAATATTGCGTGGGGGCTAAAAATAATAATGAAACTACGAAATGAGATTTCTAGCAAACTATTGGTCACAATACATATATAAAGTCACATGCAAAAGTGAAAATAGGTTAACACACCCTCTAATTTTCACTTCGAAAACCAACAAAGCATGTAATTTGACCAGGGAGCGTCCAGGAGGAGGAAAAAACGTTCTTAACTTCAAATGGAAGCTAATGGAAAATATTTTTTCCAAGTAATTTTGGATCACTTTCATTCGCCCGTTCATCGTCGTTTGAAATTTTGTAAAAAAATATACTTCCAGGGGTCCCGAGGGGTTGAGACAATAATGAAGAGAGGAATGAATAGCCATTGAATATGTACAAATGATTAAATTAAATGATAAATGAAATAAAACTAGAAATGTTATTTTTTTCAGGCTCCTCAGGTTTTATATCATTGTTGATGCCATTCAAATGGGATGTTTTACCCTTTAATGTGTGTAGAAATACTTCTATATCTGCATTATGCCTCGTTTTAGCTTAAAGAAAAAAGAGAAGAAATCTTTGCCTTTACAAACACAAATTTTACACAAAAGCATGAACTGTAGACACAATAATATACTGCACATGAATAATAATACTATATACAATACTATTATTGTTAATACAATAATACTAACAAAAATCATTAAGGCTAATTTGACTTCTCAAAACAAAAAAGATGAAATTTGCATTGCTGACATTATTGTTAAACCTCACTTTTCAGGTATTTATTAATTTATTTGGTCTTATTGTTAAGAATTTGGGGGTCTCCTAAGATTCTGGCACCCAGGGGCTTTGCAAGATAATGATCCATCCCTAAGTACTGACTGCAGACTGTGGGAAGTCTGGATGTTGCAGACTTAAATATCCCAAATGAATAGCGACTCTAGGGGGCATTGACCATGTGTGATACGTCACAATGCTTTTGACTTGATATTACAGATAGGCTTTGTGAATCTACAGCTTCTGGTGACAATGAAATGATATGCATGCTAAAAACTAATTTAAAAACCTTAATCTGATGCCTTTTTATCTTTGAAAGTGGGGGAGTGCTTCACTCCACTAGCCCACTTATTTCAGCAGCCCCTGAGTTAGCTAGCCAGGAGAGCTTTGGCCAAACTCGTGTTAACACTAACTTTGTCAGTTTTACAGTAGAAATAGACTCTCAAAGCTTGTCGTCCTGATGTTCCATTGTTTTGATGATGTAGATGTTTTGGTATGAGATCTCTTTATTATCATAATAACAAATAAGAGCAACGTACCTCACAGTCTCACACATTGTATAATTTAAGCTAACGTTACTTTGTATGTGAACCCAGACAGATCTGCCAGTATGAGTTCAGGCATGAGAAACAGCAGCACTGTGTGATCTAGCAGGTGTTTTTAAAGCCCTTATGAAAGTTTATGGATGCAAACCAACTGTGTCTGCCACCCAGGAATAGTCCTAAGTTTTACACAGGTTTTACACTGCAGCATGTTTAGCATTTAGAGCCCATCAAAAAGTGCACTATTCGTTTTGAGACAAAAACAGCAGGAGCTTTTTGCATCTGCTCCCAGCACAGATTACCCTGGGGGATCAAATCGAAACGTGTAAGATTTTTATGACTGTGTAAAAACTGAGACTGAAGTGCAGATGCCAATGACAAGCATGTTTGTTCCTTTAATGAAAACCATTAGTCTCGCACAATGCTGTCGATTAACTATGGCGAAGGGGGAAATATTTTTAGAGGTCACACAGAAGAGAACATTAGTAATCCAAAGTAATGTTCGCTCATGATAAGATGCAATGCACTGTTTAACTGGGTAACATCCTCTAGCAGTGTTTGTCTCTAAGGGGAGATGTAATATTTATCGGAGAGAACTGATGCAGAACTGGAGCCCACTCCCCGCTGCTCGGTAAACCCTTTTATTCACCATGGAGTCTGGAGCTAACGTAGAAAAGATCCCCTCCTTATCAGCGTGTTTACAGCATTGTAAAGAACGCAGGCCGACATTATAGCAAACAAAAACATTCCCGTGTTTTCCATTAAAGACTCGCTGGCACAGACAGGTATTCATTGTCATTAGCCAGCTAGTTTTAGGGATTAAGAAGCAAACACTGAATGTTTATCTGTTGTTGCTGGCTGCATTACTGAGGTCGTGTAGTGTTGTAAAATTGTGGGAACATGAGCTTTGCACCCTTGCAAATGTCCTTCTGCTTGTTTTTATTGTTCCTTTATAAGGTGTGCACAGCTAATTTGGAAATTCCCAAGCGTGTTCTTTGTACATCTTCAAAGCTAGAATAAAAAGCTGCGTGGCAGGAGCTGACTACGTTGCTCGGGTACCTAAGACAGAATGCAGCCCAAAGACAGCCTCAGAGGGATAGTGTTCCCGCTAACAAACCCACCCATGCATGAGTCAACACGCACCCACGGATCTGCCCAAATCCCCACTGACATTGTTGATGATGACTAATGTGATATAAGATCTTCAAAAAAATGCCTCCATGAATGGCTGAGTCGAAGCACAATCTCCGACATCTCTCTGATTGCTTTTTTTAATGCTCCAAGAACATTCCGGGTTTAAAATCCAAGAAGTAAGAGCTGTTTTCTCAGCAGAGGAGATTTAGCTGAAAACTGTTCTACCCCAGCCTGAGAGGAAAAGTGCTCTGCTGGCACAGAAATGTTCTTTTCAAATTCAAGATGGGTTTACGTTTGCTGAGTTGTGTGTTAGAGGTAGTTTTCTATGCACTCTTAAAATTGAACATTTTTAAATGGTTTTTGGCCAGAGGTATGGTTGTAAGTGATTGATAACACTTTTCTCAGGGCCGTCTTCACAGGGACTTTATAACACATGATTAAACATTGAATAACTTATTTATAAAGCAATTTGTAAGCAATTATAAACAGCTCATGCCTGTAACTTCATAAGGTAACATAAGTATTATATAAAGTAAATGACAATATATTGGCATTAAGGACTTCAAACTAAAGTGACTCACATTTGTTCCATGTTTAACACTTAGGTTTATAGACATCAAAATACACAGAACTGATATCTTAGCCTCTGCCTTTTAAGTTCAATTACATGGAAATGATGCTTCATGACAGTGTTATAAATGGACCAAATGTCTGTGACTTAAGTTGAAGGCCTGTCATATAATTACAATGTCATTTACTTCATAAATCATCTTCTGTTATATTGAGATTACTGTCATAAGCAGTTCATTAATGTTTAAGCATTGCTTTTTAAATATGTTCAATGCTTATGCAAGTGTTATGAGTGCTTTTGTAAGTAGTTTTCAAATAAAGTGTTACTAAAATATGTTTAATAGGTACA